AGATAGACAGATGTCCCAGACAGACAGATAGGCAGCTATGTGAATATTTAAATTGCTAAAAGATTACTTAAATTCTTTATTTAAATGCTTTCTTTAATGGTTACTCTTGGCACAGTTCTTCCTCCTACTATTCTTATTGCAAGTTCACTTTCTAGAAGTCTCATCAAAACTCCTTCTATGGGTCGCCCTTCTTACATCCCTCATCCTCATTCTCACCTCTCTGTTAAAAAGGCAACTAAGTCACTCTACACAGTATCCTCTGCCAAGAGGCAGTTTTTACATTTGTTTGTATCAACTCAAGGAAGATACCGCTTTCCACAACCTCCTATTTTTGATACAACACAGAAAGAATAGAAAAGTCTTTCTCATCAGATTTTAGAAAAAGACATCAGGTGCAAGTATGCTAAAATAATGGAAATGCAGCAAAAAGGATGATCTCTGCTAATAATTTGACATTAACTCAAAGTGCCCTCAGGCAAGAGTGCAATGTCTCTGTTTCCAAATGGATTGAAATCCAAGGTCTCAAATAGGTTTTTGTGCTGTCTAAAATAGAAGCAAATATATTCTGCATTCTGGCTTCACCAGTCTGCGGACACAAATGAAGTCACATAAACATGAGTACACAATTTCACCAGCTGGTCAACCTACCAGCGTAACCAGAGGGCATCGGCCTCCCCCTCAGTTATTTCCTGAAAACTTGGCAAATGTATCACATTGCTCAGGACCTGTTTTGTCTTGGTCTTCATCCTCAGCCGCCTCGTTGGTGTGAAACTACCAGAGGATGGCATCTCCTAACTGCCGTGGCTGCCGGCTCTCATCATGATAATGTAGCTTTGCCAAGGAACTATCTCTTTTGACTTCAAAAGGTGCAAAGCTTTGAGTTGCCAAAAAGAACTGCATCTCTTTCCCTGGTCCATGTAAAATACCCCTCTCTCCTTTACTTTGCATGATCTTTTGTAATAATCTTGGTTCACACCACTGCTAATGTTCTGTGTGTGGCAATGATTCCTATGAAAATGGGCTCTCAGCTTCCACCTGCAAATGTTCTCTTGCTAGAAGATCAGATCCAGCCTGGTGCAAGGCTGAGGAAAAACATCATACTGTCCTCTGCCTCCCCTCATCTCTGCTCTCAGACACTCATCACAGAACTTCAGCCTCTGAGATCTTTTTCTCCTTTAATATAAATCAATTCATGAATGCAGATAATGAAGGGCGCTGGGCCACCAGAGCAGAAGACTGAATTCCAGTTCTGGTTCAGTGAAAATTACAGTTGTATGAAGACAGATTAAGTGAGGAACAAATTAAACATGCTAGTTTACTTCTTTCTGGGACTTGGAAAAAGCAAATGTTAAAGGCAAAAAAACCTCAAAGGATCCCTAGCTTACTTCTAATCTGAGTTCTACCCCACCCCAGCAGGAACTAATACCAACATCAGACATGATCATTCAGGGCTTCAGACTCGCAATCAGCGGTAGCCTCAAGCATTCAGATGGCATCAGTGAGGGGCAGAGCCAGAATGAAATGTATTTGGCTGTCATTAAACTGTAAATGACTAGAAAGAAAAAAATCTGCTTAGTTTGACCAGCTGATATCTGGGAAAAGTGGAATTTTGAAATCAAACAAGGAGATTTGGCTGTTAAGATGATAAAAGCAAATATCTTCAGTGGTATTTACTCTCCTTCCAGCTGTTCTTCTGAAATCCTATAGACTGGACTGAGCTCACAAGGCATTCAGCCCAACAAACCTAGACAGGTTCAATTTCTTCAGTGAATTAGGAGGGAGGCCACAGAGTCTACGCTGTAATTTTCCCACAATCCATTAACTGTTAACTGATGGATTCACAGAATTCAATTTTATGGTGAAAGGCTGCAGCCTTTCTTCATGTTCTAGAGACCATCAAATTATTCATCCCCTCCTTTCACAGTGATCTCAGGGGGAGTGAGGTCTAAATCTTCACCCGCAGGTAAATACAAAACAGAACTTTCATTAGCAAATGAAGAATGCAAACCAGAAGCTTAATTTTGGTTTGTCCATGCAAACACAAAGCAACAGCTCAGCCAGTCCCCAGGAACCCAATAAGACTAGAGTCAAATAAGCATTCTTTAAATGAAATCCTGGAAGTCATTTCCCTTTTTGCACATTAACTCTCCTAGAGAAAGTTCCCCAGCAATTAAAAGTGTTGAATTCATGCAGAGTGCCTGTTACACAGATGAAACCACACACAGAAAATTGGGAGACACATCGCAGCATCAAGTACTGTAATTAAGAAAATTGTCTTCATGCTTTTTTATGAATATGAATGACTGAATATATGACAGAGCAACACAGCCTCTTCATTACCAAGAGAGCTGGATGCAGGAGAGGTCTCCAGGAGATCCAAGAAGGGATGGAAGGAGGAATAGAGTCCGAAGCTAGAGCATCTCAGTAAAATGTAGAAGCCCAGATGCTTGCAAGTAGAAGATAAAAATGAGTGAACCTCGGGGCCAGCCTGGTGGTGCAGTGGTTAAGTGTGCACGTTCCGCTTCAGCGGCCCGGGTTTCACCAGTTCGGATACTGGGTATGGACATGGCACCACTTGGCACGCCATGCTGTGGTAAGCATCCCACATATAAAAAAAAAGTAGAGGAAGATGGGCACGGATGTTAGCTCAGGGCCAGTCTTCCTCAGCAAAAAAAGAGGAGAATTGGCAGCAGATGTTAGCTCAGGGCTAATCTTCCAAAAAAAAAAAAATGAGTGAACTTTGCAGCTCAGGTGCAGTCACTGAAACATTAGTCTGGGTCGGAAAGGGGAAGTAGAATGTCATGGCTAAATGCACTTAAGAAAAAAGTGGGATCTGTGCTCTGAAAGTGGGTTTTCCCTAAGTTTTCACATTCCAGGCCTCAGCACTGCTCTTCATCCTTCCCGTAACTCCTGCCCTACTCTGAACACTTTAAAGGCCTCGTGTGTTCACCTCTTTATGCTTCACCAGAGAACAGGGCTGGTGCAAGCTGTCAGTTCTAAAGAAGGCTGAGGAAGGAAGCAGAAGGGCACTGGGCTGGGCTCTTAGAAGCACCCCAGTGCCTGGTCGACAGAAACTGAGCAAGGCCTTGGTCAAGGGTCACCTTGGGGAAAGCAAGGAGGAGACAGACACAAAAGACTGAGGAAGTTAATGTGGGGGGCAAATGGAGTCCAACATGATGGGGCAAAGAAACAGTCAAGGAAGAGGAGTTAAGGTCCATTCTTTGGGGAGTACTTGCACTGAAAAGAAACAGCTATATGGTTCTCACTCATAATCTCATCGGTAGACTTAGTGCCACTTTCCAAAGCAGCCCCCAAATTCATTCTACAATGATCCCAGATTTCCCCGAGTTCAGTCTTTCAGTTTGAAAAAGCCTTTTATTTATTTATTTTTCATATTTGAAATTTTTTGTTGCAAAATACACATAACATAAAATTTATCATTTTAACCATTTTTCAGTGTACAATTTAGTGGCATGAAGAACATTCATAATGTTGTACAACCATCCCCACTATCCAATTCCAGAACTTTTTCATCCTGAGCAAACTCTGTACAAATCTAACTCCATTAAAACCTAACTCCTATTTCCTCCTCCCCGTCAGCCCCTGGTAACCTCCATTCTACTTTCTGTTTCTGTGAATTGGCCTTTTCCAGGAACTTCATGTAAGAAGAATGATACACAATTGTAAAAAGACCTTTTAAAATGGTACAGAAACATTAAACTTATGCATCTTGGGTTTATTGTAAGGAAATATTTATAATAGAGAAAAATTAGAAATAATCTAAAAATTCAACATTAGAAAATTAAGTAAATTATGGTATTCTTATAGATGGAATTCCATGGGACCATCAAAAAGATATAGATCAACATTGCGTAATGATCTGATTTTACATGCATATATATAATTTGAATATATATAAATTGTAGAAATCCTTTATCTTTATCATGCAAAGAATCACTTGAGCAGCCCCCTTGTTTGTTCCAGTGTGGGAAAAGCACGCTTGAGTTAGTGTAAAACCAAACCTTTCCAACTTGATCAGATCATGATCTCAGAAGAACTACCTAGGGACCCAGAGGACTTCTGGAAGACAAAGATCGCAGCCCCAACTCTGTTCCCTGAATGAGAATTTAGGGAGAGCTGCTGGGGCTTTCTAGAATTACTCCAATCAGGTTTCATGGGCAAGAAATCGCAATGGGGCACCCGAAATCCATTTATCTTGATGAAAAGGGTAGCTATCTAGGCTTCAGATCAAACCTTAACATCGGAACCTAAGAGTTTGTGTGGGAAGGGCTGATTCTGACACTGCCTCTGGCTGATTTTGGAAATTCCTCTGAAACCAGCCCCTTGGGGCATAGTGGTTGTGCACTGAGAAACAGTGACTTAACTAAGAAAACACTAATCGTGGGAATCCGAGTGTGGAATTTGGATGAAGCAGAGTAAGGAAGACATGCACGCTCTCTGCTCTTTCAATTCAGAACTGGCTGGCTCCAGCACAGGCACCAATGGACCCAGTTCTGAGAGACTCCACGTCTACTGCTCAATGACTGCTTGATTCCAGTTGTGTAAAAAGTGCCCAGGATAGAGCCTGGTTTCCAGTAAGTACTCAATAAACAGCAGTCCCTTTCTAACTGGAAACTGATTATTGATAACAAATTTATGTGGAGCTCCTTTTCTCAGACATTAGCAGAGTAGAAGAGTTCTATTCACAATTTGGAACCTCGTCTGCTTTTCATTGTTCCATGTCACCTTCTACCACCATCTCCCTGGAAAATGAGTCATTTGTGTGCATTGTTTATAATTTATATCTAATTAATGTGGCATGACAATTATATAAATCACTAAATGAGTCAGGTTAACTTTAGGTTTTGTTTGAGTACAACACAATATTTTGTGTTCTCAGTCTTCATAATTAGCTGTCCCTATGATAAATCAGTTGGTATGGTTTCACTTGCAATAACAGAAGCCGTGACTCATCAGGCTTAAACAATAAGGAACTGTATTATTTCACATAGCAAGAAGTACAACAGCCAACTGCAGGGTGATTTGATTCCATGGCTCAAGCTATGACATCAGGGATACAGATGTTTTTGTCTTTCTCCTCTGCTGTCTAGAGTGTTTCCTTTATCCTAAAAGCCCTTCTTGTTTTGGTCACAAGATGGCTGCCAGCAGCAACTATAGCATCATGAGGTCTTGTTCACATCTAGAAGGAGAGAGAGAGAAAAAAAATTACTGCCCAAGGCTGGAATATAAGTCTTTCACTTTAGTCTGATTGAGCCAGCTAAAGTCAAAATCCCACTCCTGCATCAGTAACAAGAGAATGCCATGCTCTGAGTCTTTTAGGCTGACTATTAGCCACCTTTGGTACTGGGATTTGTGCCAGTTTTCTCTTAGTCATGTAGATGGTGTGGTTCAAGGATGGATACCTGAGTAAAATCAGGATTTGGGTAGCAAGGAGGCAGGAGCCATGAATGTCAGGGAACTAGCCAGCAGGCCTTGGCTTAGTAGTCTTGTGGGGAGATTATTTCTCTGGGGAAATGGGTATAGGAAAGAGAGAAGCTGTGGACCAAGAATCAGCTGGGAGTAGCTTACACACAAAATTACAGGGGCACCTCTATATTTTGAACAACTTGAGAGAGCTACTTTCTAAAAGTCTAAAAATAATTCCATCATCAATATGCAAGTAATATGAAAAGGAAAAATGGTTATGGTCTGAGTTCACAGATTATTTAATTGATGCCGGTAGGGTTGGTCCAGAAGTCACACTCCTGCTAAATTCAAAATACCTCATTGTACTCACACCGAGATTTCATTCCTTAACTTTTCCTTCATTGTAGGTGAGCTCCTTATAATGAGGCTTTTAGATCATCTCCAGAAAATCAATTGCTGGTGACCCTACCCTGTCAGCCATTCAGACACAGCTGGACATGCCTGAACCTGAACCCACTATGGGTACGTAGCATAGGTCCCCCTCTGAGACCCCACTATGTCAGCAGCCTCCAGCATTAAAAGTAGAATTAACCCGGAACGATTGAAGAGTCTGCATATATCCAAGTCTAAGCTGTACTCTGCAGAGAGTTGAATAAATGATTGTTCAAGCTAAAATCCATTTCACTTAATGGAAGAATTGATATGAATTTTTTAAAGCATAGCCTGTTAGGCCCCAAAGGCTGTTTTTTAAATCAGACTTTGTGATCTAAGGCAATGATTTGAGATTATAAATCCATCAGATATCAGCTCCTGTAAATATGAGCTTCTGAGAGTTAGCTTGGATTACATTCTCCAATTCATAGACCCATGCCTATTGGAGTCAGTGAATGTATGAATAATGAAAGCTCATTTATTAAGTAATAATTTATTAATATAATTAATAATTTATTAATATAAGTAACAGTTTATTACAATGTGCCCTGCACTGTGCTGGGTCAAGGCCATCCCTATCCTCAATTGTGGATTGACATACGTATAGGCACAATGAAATATGCTTTTTAGCCTAGAGATCTTCAAAATGCTTTGGAATCACACCGACTAAGTGGTAAATTCTTCCTGAAGATATCAGAACAGGCTTTACAAAGACGGTAACATTTAAGAAAGGTCCTTAAAATAGGTAAAATCTTGAGATAGAGAAAAAAGCTGAAAAATGCATTTTCAGGAAAAGGGAATTTTATGGGCAAAAGCACAAAATATGAAAAAGCATGACAATGTCAAAGAATGCTAATGGGCAGAAAAATTGTTAAGATGATTTCAGGAAAGAAAAGGAAGAAAAGGAATGGATAGATGGCGTAGAAATCGATAAAGAACAGAATTGAGATTCTAAAGTCATAGGTTTGAATCCTTATTCCGTCACTCAATTATTAATCATCAGTAGATTACGAATGTTAACCTGCCTGAGTCACTTCCTGAGATGGTCCTTGACCATGCTGCAGCTCGTAGAGCCCCCACCCCAGGTCCACCAGACACCGATACTCATATCCAAATAACAGTCATTTTATAAAGGAGATTCAAGGATCATGCCATCCACTGAGCCACTGATTCATTTTCCTGATCCACTTGGAGACAATGACAATACAAATGGCTCCAAGAGGACTTTCAGAAAAGTTGCAAGAAACCTCTTTGGGCAGGCGGATTTTTGCTCCCCCTTTCATCACAGCATGTTGATAGCTGCCTACCCCATCACTACCCCATGCTAACCCTGCCCGCCCTGAAAAATTGACTAAATTCTTGATATAACCTTGTTCTTACGATGTGATTTGTTACTCAACTAATTTGACCTTACTTTTTTTCAGACCACTACAAGCATCCTTCTTCAGTACATTTCACTCCTTCCCCCGATTCCTGGTGTTTTGGTGAGTTTTGTAACCAATAAGAAACCATAAATGCCACTTGGCAGGGTAAGCTACTCAGATTTTTCATTCACTGAAGTCCTCTAATTTCCAGTTTCATCTGTAAAATGAAGACATTAATTCCTACCCTCCAAATTAGGAATTTGTATATTTTAATTTTTATGTCAGGAGCAAAAGGTAGGCTTGCATGGAATTTGACCCGCCTTGTCATCTCTGATTTGTTCCTGGGCCCCCAAACTGTAGTGAGTTTTGAGGTACCTTGGCTCATACTATTAAGCTTTCTCATGGAGCACTTTTCATATGTGACAAAACGAATGCTGAACTTTTTCTGTTCACAGCACCACATGGAATGAAACAGTGAAGTAATTGAATATTTTAGAGCAAGCTACAGTGACAAACAACGCTTCAAAAAGCTAACAAAGAATGCCGAACTTTCTCATGCCTATAATGATTTGAATACTTGGTTCCAGAGATCCCTAATGAAAAATTCATTTTACATTGATATATTGGAATTAAGTATGGCTTAATCTGCTTCTTCAATCTCATAACTCCCATCCCAGAGCAAATTTTTTGAGATTAAAATAAATTCTAGAGTAATAAGGTTTTTTCTTTTTCTAAAATTATTTTTATTTTTTTAAATTAACTAAAAACCACAATCTTATTGAAACATAAATAAAACAAAGAAGACTTATATAGAGTAAAAACCAAAAAGAAAAGGCTTGCTCCATGTTTCTTTATCTCTATCCAAACCCTAACGGTAACCACTATTAATGACTGGATATGTATTATCAGTCTTTTCTATGCATTCACAGAGAAAAAGAGAACAAATATATAGCTTGTTGGTTTTCTTAAAAAACGTTTTATTAACTATGAAATTCTCTAACCTGATTTTTTTTGTTTAAGATAACTTTATATCTTTAAAGTCTGTACTTATAGATATTCCTCTTGCCTCCTTGGGAATTAATTTTTAAAAATCCCGTTAGAGAAGATCCATACATTATGCAAATTGGAGAACACTGATCAATGACATACTATTCCATTGTGTGGCTGCACCATGATTTAATTACATTCTTCTAGCAATGACAGCTGAGCTGTTCCTAGCATTTTACTGTCAAAAACAATGCTTCAATGAGCATCACCATGAAGATATTTTTACACACATTTCCCAGCAATCTTATAGGATATATGCCTAAAAAAAGAATTACTGAGTCAAAGGGCATACGCACTATAAATTTTGGTGTATAATGCTAAATTGACCTCCAAAAAGACTATACGTATTCACACTTCAACCAACAATGCACGAGACTAATGCTTCCTCCACACTTTCACCTACACTGAATATGTCAATCTTTTAAGGTTTTCCTAAACTGATGGGCAAAAAAAATCGCGTTATTTTAAATTGCAATTTCCTTATTACTAATAACGCTATGCGCTCTCTCTCTCTCTCTGGAGCTTTTATTATTTTTTCCTGCAAATTGCTTTTTCATGGTCTTTGTCCATTTTTTTTGGATTGATTGAGTTTTCTAACTGCCTTATAGGAGCTCTTTGTATACTTTTAATATTTATTCTTGTTATATTCATAGTAAATATTTTCTCCCATTTGATCATTTGTCTTTTCTTCCCTTTGGTCAATTATGCTTTATGGTATCTTTTATTGTACAAAAGTTTTTAATTCTTTAGTTGTAAAACTTGTTAATCTTTTCTATTATAATTTCTGTGTTTTCTGCCTTGCTTGAGAAAGTCTTGCCTATGTCAAGGCAGTCAAAATATTTCCCTGTGTTTTCCTCTAGTGCTATTTTTTTAATGTTGCATTTTGACATGTCCAGAATATGGTAAGAGAAATGAGATTTAATAATTTTTCCAACAGAAAGTCAGTTGTTGTAACATATTAATGAAATAATTTGTTATTTCTCTAGTGATTGGAAATGCTAACTTATCATATACACTATTCATACTCTTGGTTACATCTCCCCCTAGGTGAAGTCCTCTGATATCAGCCTTCAGAAAATCAGACAACTCTTCTCCTGCAGCTGTTTGGGAGACAATTCATTTGGGCTCACACCTTAATATTTAAAACTTCCCCAAATAATATATATGTATACACACACACATATATGGATGTATATATACAAGACGTGTGTGTGTGTGTGTGTGTGTGTATAGGATAGGTTAGGTTCTGGATTTTATATATATATAGAGAGAGAGAGAGGTATATATACAGGAGATATATATATATGCACACACACGTACAGGATTCTTGAGTCCTCATCTGAATTAACCTCTCTCTTTCTTGCCCCAAAACCATTTTATTTTAATTACCTTAGCTTTATACCTTGTTTTGAAATTTGGGGGTGCTATTTCCCTCTTGTTTTTCTTTTACTAAATTTCCTGTACATGTTCTCCTACAGAAAAATTTAGAATCCAGTTATCAAATTCCACAAAAACTTCTATTGTGATTTTAATTGACAAAGAATCAAATTATAAATTTGTTTGTGAACTTGTACAGTACTAAATCTCCCCATACAGAGATACAGTGTGTTTTTCCATTTATACCAGTCTCCCTTTCCATCTTTCACTGAAGTAGTATAGTTTTCTTCAGATAGGATTTGAACACTTGTTATTTGTTATTTTCTAAGAACTTATAGATTTTTTTATATTAGTGTAGATGAGATTCTTTTCCATTGACTTCTTAAATTGGTTATTCTGGATGTATAGAAAATGACACCAATTTTGTATGTTGACTTTGAATCTAGACCACTAACATCTTTCATTATTATTTTTTGGCTTTTCCAATCTTACATTCAAATAAATACAGTTATATCTTCTGTGTTAGTGGTCTAACAGTCTTTGGATGTGTATG